CAGAGATCGAAGTCAGGACCTTTTGCTTGCCAAGCAAGCACTTATTCCACTGAGCTATCTCCCCAGCCCCAAATAACTATTCTTAAAGTGAACATGGGATGACTTCTACTGGCAAAAGATAAATATACATACAGAACTGCTAAATTAGCACAGAGGAAAATGGAATGAGAAGGAGAAAGCCTCTATCAACTAAAAAGCTGCAAGAAAAAAGAAGACAAAATAAGAAGAGAATAACAAATATGTAACATAAAATAAGATAGCAGGTGCTGGCGAGATAGCTCAGTGGACTAAAGTGCCTGCTTAGGCAAGCTCAGGGTCCACAGTTCGATTCTCAGCACCACATGCTGGGCCAGCCCCACCCCAGGGTACACACCTGTAACCCCAGTGCTAGGGAGGCTGAAAGCAGGAGGCTCACCACAAGTCTAAGTTGTGTAGTGAGACGCTGCAACAGTCACATACATTAAAAAAAAAAAAAGAGAGAGAGAGAGAGAGAGATAGGATGGCAGAATTGAATCCAAAGGTGTCAATCAGTAAGCACAATGAATATAAATATCTATTTGACGGTAAAAATTGTCAGCCTGGAATTTTGTTTTACTTTGTGTGGTGCTAGGGATTGAATCCTGAGCTTCAAAGATGCTAGGCAGGTGCTCTCCCATTAAGGTACATCCCACTTCTGTCATCTTTTTTAATAACATAAAACAAAACAACATGCTAGAGATACATCTAAAACACAGAAATATAAAAGGAGTAAAAGAAAAAGGAAGGGAAAAGATGATGTGAACATCAACCAGTACAGAGCAGGTTATGTGGACCAAAAATACCAACTAAAAGGAATGCCACTCTAATAACCCCTGGATGGGTCAAATAAGAACGGACAAAATATCCTACAGTTTACCACCTTATTGAGGAAGCAAAGAAACTTCTGTCTACTCTCCACCCCTCGTGTGATGCTCCCCAATTCTGTTATAAGAACAGACAAGTAGACTATTTCTCTAAAAAGAAATACTGACAAACTGCCTCCAGCCAACTCAAGCAGGAAAAACTCAAGTTTTGTCAGATTACCCACAGAGAGCTACTCCACAACTCTGTCGTTCCTAGTTCTGATCCTGGATTGTAGACACACATCCGCAGTTACAGCACTCATAAAGCTAAAACCAGATCACGCTGTCACTAACACCTAGGTATGAATTCATTCCTTGACAGTGGTACACAGCAGAGACTGGCTGGTGATCACGTGCCCAGCAACCCCGTGGGCGCACCTGGGGAAACGCACAGACTGGGGGCACTCTCTCCACTTAACCTCCTGCTACATGGGGCAGAATGCAAATAACAATGTTGTAGTGATCTAAGGCCCTGTATTCTATGAACACCCAATTTTTTTTTCACATTTTGGTGCAGTATTATGAGCCACCACTTGCTTATGACACATGACTGTGGTGTCCTCACCAGTTTCAGCTGCACTTGAACTGTTATCCAGCCTTACTTCCTCTAATTTTGAAGTTCTTTCACATTCTCAAAGCATTCCTCCTAACTCCTGAATCAGAAATCCACAGGTCCTAGTCCACAGCTGTTCACCATTGTTGCGTATCACTTCAAATTTCAGTGTTCTGAGGAGAGTCCCCGGCATCAACATCATTAAAAAAAAGTTCGGGGGCCAGGGAGATAGCTCAGTGGAATAAGCACTTGCCTGGCAAGTGGTTCTGCCAAAAAAAAAAAAAGTTCACCAGGGCCACAAACCCAGCTATCTGCCTCCCCACACTGGTGTGGTGTCACCTTGGAGTAAAGCTCCCCCTCTTTGCTAGGATCAAATGTGAAGGTATTTGTAGAAGTGTCACAAACCCTGTTGTTAGGAAAGAACCATCCAGGGATTTCCCACCATGTATACTCCTTCTCCTCGGTACTGTAACTAATAGCTACAGAGCTGTGCATCTGAACTGCTAAGAGGCTACCCAGGGTCTCATAGGAGCCCACCCTCTAAAACGTCTCTATTATGATCTGGCCCTGTCTAAGCGGCCCATGCAGCACCAGGCCTTGCAGACACCAAGAAGTCATGCCCAGTGCCTGGCCTCTTATACAGCAGGTTTCCTACTGTAGCCCACAGCCTTCTGTTAAAAATGTGTGCACCCCTGTGTTGGAGTCTGGCCTCATCCACACAACAACAGGCATATTTTTTAAAACTTCTTTCTATACCCAGGAAAGATTAGAAGGATACATAGCAAAATGTTAAGAATGATTCTCCTTGGGCAGTAAGTTAATTGATGATTTTTTTTTCTTTTCTGGTTCTCTGTATCTGCTGAAATTTCTAGAGCAAATATGTAGTACTTTTATAATTCAAATAAACAGGTAAATAATTGTCCCAACTGAAAAAGGAACACATAAAGGATCTGGCTCGTAGGCCAGCTGTGCCCCAGATTTGCTAGGGTATGACCTCCAGGGGTGTGGCTAGAATGGATATCTCCTCAAGGCCTGCCCTCCTCTGACATTCAGGGACCCCAAAAACCCCTCTGCTTATTACTTAAGACTCCTGGGAGACCCCACTCCTGAGGTGCAAAAGCTCTTATTCTGCCATTCTAGTTTCTCCTACTATCTCCTATTCATGCCTCTCCCCTGTATCAACAAAGAAAGTCCTCTTATCTGTGGTTTCAGTTACCCAGTCAACCACAGTCCAAAAATATTAAATGGAAAATTCCAGAAATAATCAATTCAAGTTTTCATTTGAGTAGCATGTTGAAATCTCATCCTGCCTGAGGCTTGAATCACCCCTCTGCCCAATGCATCCACCTTATATATACACTACTTGCTACACTTAGCAATCATCTCAGCTATCATGCTGATCGTCTTCACAGTGCTTAGCAGATAGAGTTTGGTACTGTCCGAGGTTTCAGGCATCCACTGGGAATGCAGGAACCTATCTCCCCAGCGTAAGAGGGGACAACTGTGCAACAGAAGTGAGACTCCATATAACGCTTACTGATCACAAGGAAACTACACCTCTACTAAGCCTCAAAGCCTGGCTCAGCTGAGACCCTACCTTTCTCTTGTGCTGGGCAAGAATAACACAACAGGCCTCCCTGCAGAAATTAGAGGCAGGGCATTCACACGCCCATTGTGCTGGCTTTAGATTAACTTCCCAGGGTCAGTGCAACAGCAGGGTCTATTTGAAAATGCTCATAGGACACAGGGTAGCTGGCAATCACCATGGAGACAGGATACTATAGGCCCCATAGGTCATCCAATGTTTCAAAGAGATATTCACAACCTTGGACAATAAATGAAGTTGGATCCTGAAAAAAAAAAAAAAACTCATGACCAACTTCTGGATGACTCTGAAAAGCAACCTCCTGAGTATATTAGTGGCAATAAGGAAGGGAGAAACCAAGAATGAGTACACAGTGTGTTCCCAGGTGCCAGTGCTTTAGTAATTCCTAGGTAGTGTTCTTTATACCCACTTTTATGTAGAGTGCAGAGAGACTGGCTTTTATGAGTTTCCTGTTGGCACATAGGGAAACTGAGGCTCAAATAATTTATTCAAGATCACAGAAGTGGAGCAAAAGAGCCGGGATGGCATTTCACAGAGGCTGGGTGTGAGCCCTGGTATGAACTAAAAGCTTCGCTGGACCAGGCTTCAGAAAGCACCTTTGGGGTTTCCAGGAGCTAAGCATGCAGGAAACCATTTGGCTGAAGTGGGGGATATGCTGGGGAAAATTCCAACTAACTTTTATTCAAAAAGTTTTTAACAATGAAAAATGCGGCCAGCAGAAATGTGGGGCTAAGCATGTGCAGATACTGAAAAACGGAAGAGTAAGTCCAAGACCATCTAAACTCTGCATGAGATCAGTGTGGGCCAAAAGGGCCCAGGGAGCCATGAGAGACACAGTCCTCTAGGCCGGTTCCACCACCTTGCAGCTAGGTGAGTCATGCTTATCTCCTCTAACCTATTTTCACCCCTGTAGAGCAAGGCATGCTTAAGGGCAGGAGGTGCCACATACCTGATGCACAAAGCAAGCTGTGTCACTCGGCCCTTTCAGAGCCCTCTTTTCCCCAAGTTTTTTCCAGTGCTAAATAGATGAACCCTAAAAAGTCAAAGTGAAGGACAAAAACCAAGCAGCTCTGCTTAACCGCAGCAATCACCTGGCCTGTTTGGTCCCAGGCCTTCACCTAGGCAGGGGCACAACTACCCAGCTGGTAC